AACAGCTTTTGTTTTGCAGCTTTGGGCAGTTGATGTGTGCATTTGAGTTTAGTAGTTGTCTTCAGCCTTTTGGGCAGCGTTGTTTTCGGTAAAGGCTAGTTTTCGGGACTCGGGCCCTCGTCTCCCCAAGCCAGGGGTCTTGGACAACCCTGGAACCCTCAACTGCGTGGCTGACAACTTGTATTTCTGTTTGTTTCGGAACAAATGGATCTAGGAACTCTAGGGTCAGTTGACCCTGTTCTGGGCCAGGGAGTTCAGTAGCTAGAATGAAGCTTTCAAATCGTGCTGGCAGATATGGGATTCTCCAGCAAACAATTTCTCGCTTTGGATACCGGGCAGGGCTCCCCTCTATATCCCTGTAGAACATAACTCCCTTCAGAAGCCATGGAGAGAATGCAGCAGTAACCATTGCCATGACGCCGGGGACTCACGAACAGTGAAGTCCCCTAAGCCTTATCTCTTCATATGGAGAACTTTACACCCTGTGGATTTGTACATGCGGACTTTATGTTTTTTCTAGTTTGAGCTTTTCTGGGTCCTGGTTATTGAAGAAGAGAGAAACACATGCCCTAGAATTGAACTCACTTGATTTTGAACGGCATTTTTTACACGCCTATGTATACCTCTACATGGAATCAACAAAAACAGATGGCCTAGACAGAACATCAGCAACCCTGACCCAAATCTATCCCGACCCTGAGCCACTAGGCCCTTCCGCGCAGTAGTTCTGGCAAAGGTTAACGTGAACAAGATTTTCATTCAGAGACGACGAGGAGAGGGTTTGTTAAGGGTCTAGCCAAAATCTCTGGTCGAACTCTCCAAACCGTTTCCTATATGACTATATTAGCCGAAGTATCTACTTTGTACGTCTCTGGGCCCTGGTGGATCTTCATGAAAATTCCCAACATATTCGCCATGGGTATATATATGTATACATATATCTATCTATCTATCTATGTATCTATCTATCTATCTATCTATCTATCTACTCCCTTCTGATAGATCCTATAGCCTCTCATCCACCTTCCCTCACACACACCCTGAAGTTGGCTGGCGCTTGGCATTCAATGGACCCTAAACCCTTGTCGACAGGAGGTTTCGAAAGCTTTGATGTGGTTCTGGAGTGTCTCGGCAGGCTCCATGGCCAGAAGATTGCGCCTGAGCTGCAAGTTTATAGGGGTTTAGGGTTTAGGGTGTAGGGCTTCAGAGAGGCCAAAGTAGGTACTGCTGATGCTAAAAATCCTTGCGCTCCTTGAAATGTTGCCCCCTCTTTCGTGTAGGGGCCCCCCCCAAACAATTTAGGGCGTCCTGAATCAGAATTGTTTTGGGTCTGAGCTGAATCCTAATAGTATAAGTATTAGTAGTATCGGAATTAGGTAGCCTTAAGCTCCGAACTTTTTTTTCGAACAACAATAGTTTTATAGGTTTGAAGACATACAACATCTAGTTTGAACTGGTAATTATTCAGACTAGTTACCTACTACATTAGATTTTTTAATGTCCTTAAACCTATCAAATTCTCATTTTGGCCTCCCTCAAACTTGACACTACCGCATCTACCCCAAACATATGCTGGTCCTGAATAATATCCCCGAAGCTTGACGCAAAAGCGGGTAGTCGAGCAAAACCGGGCGCAGCATGACCATATTCTAGTACCAGGGGTGGGGGAGAATTTTAGTAACAGCCGAATTATAGACTCATAGACATCAGGGTGGCAAGTAGGAATGCTTTATGGACATACCCTGAGGCTCATATCCAGTTCCTCTCTGGGTGTTTTTTTTGAAGCGAGAGGCAGCCCTAGCAAGTATGTAAATAGTTTGGTTGTAATGGCTAGAATCCAACTCACATGGTCAATTCCACACAGCTGCTTACATCATCCGTTCCTAAAGTGTCCAATGTAGTTGCTGATTGAAATCGTTGTAATCGATTAGGTGAGGTGCCCACTTTATGGAAAAGTTAAGGACTGGAAAATTAGCCTTGTTGCATCCTTCCTTCACCTAGCATGGAACTTTGATCTACAGTAGGCTTCAGTTCCTTTACACTTCAAGAAGATCCTATGGCAGGGACTCCTGACAGGACCCCCAAACCCTAAACCCTAAACTACCCTAAACCCTAAACCCCTAAACCCCTAAACCCTAAACCCTAAAGACCCATTTTTCAAGCACTGCAAAGGTTTCCAGCATCGACTGCCTGCTGGAGCAGCGGTGAGACGACGGTCATCTGGCAGCCGTAGTGGTGATGCCGAGAGGGGCCAGGAAGCTTACCTAGACCCTAATTGAGCTATAGTCTAAACTCCTTAAAAGGGGGCCTTACATAGGGGATTATATAGGAGACTACTCTAGGGGCTATTAAGGAAGATACTGCGAGTTTAGACAATGGCTCGATTGGGTTCAAGGTTTAGGTTAGGGTTCCAAGGAGAAAGCAGAATTTCCCAACCGTTAACGAGAAGTCGTGAACGGTAGTCTGATGAGGAATGGCTGCTCATACTCATTATGGCATTACATAACCCAGGGACTTGATTGAAGATGTGCTAGAGGACCGATTCGTACACAAATTTGTGTCCCCAGCATTTTTTGAAGATCGGACGTTTATTTGTAGATCGGACGGTTTTTGGTTGGGTTACTAGGCTTCGGGCCAGAAAAATCAAGTCGGACAGAAATCACAACCGCAACTCGGGCGCAATTTCCCGCAACTCGGGCGCAAATTTGCGCAACTCGGGCGCAATTCTGAAAACTGTCCAGCCTTTGGTGGAAAATGTTGACACGGGTGTTTTTTTAAAAGCCGGATGCTTTTCCTCACGGTAGAACGGATAAAAGAGAGGGACGCAAATTTGTGTATCAATCGGTCCTCTAGGGATGGTCTTGTTATAGCTCTCGGAGGAGTACAGCTGGAGTACAGCAAATTTCCCGAAGAAACCTTAAACCCCTAAACCCTAAACCCTTAAACCCTAAACCCGAAACCCCAAACCCCTAAACCCTAAACCCCTAAACCATAAACCGTTCCCCAGATAGTACGCACAAAGTCTCACGCCCAAAGTTCATTGCCGCGATACTGGTCTTCACCTGCCATGGGTCTCTTTTTCAAGTCCCTTCAGCCCTATAAGCCCTGAGACCATAAACCCCAAAACCCGAACCGTCAACCTTGAAACCCTAAGCCTTTAAACCTTATTTAAAGCCCGTGAACCCTCAAATTCCCTACTGTAATCCCCAAACCCATCCCAGTTGCACCTTGGAAATTGCAGCTTCTCTTTTGCTCCAGACCGGGCCAATGATTTTGCGAAACAGAATCTAAGTTAGGTTCCTCTGAAGGGGCTACATGGCTCATATGGGTAGAGGTATATATATACATATCTACAGGTTTGGTAGGGTTTAGGGTTTGAGGGTTGTAGAAAGGGTCATTGCGCCTCCTAGTATGTAACGGGGCTTTTCCAAAAGGCTACGACAATTCCTTGTGCCCATTGTGAAAACTGTAAGCCAACATTGGGATGATTCTCTGCCCTAATCCCTATAACCCCTAGACCCGAATCTTAGACTCGAATCCCTAAATCCTGAAACCTTTAAACGCGTTCAACAGGAATCCCAGTCTTTAGGAGGTTGCTCCCCGTGCTAAGAAGCAATCTTCAAGCTTCCGAGTGCATAAGGCAGTCTGGCAAAGGGAATGATAGCGACATCTGTGCAGCGTTGAGGGGTTTAGGGTGTAGAGTTTGGGGTTCAGAGTTTAGGGTTCAGGGTTCAGGGTTTAGGAAGTTTAGGGTTTGGTGTTTAGAGTTTGTGTTAGGGGTTTCCATGAGAATTCTTATGGGAAGCAATTGCCTCTGCTTCCTTTTACGCATCAGAAAGGAATTGGCTAATAAGACTTTGCAGTGCTAGACCTTCATGAAGGCTGGGTGAGAGTCTACTTTGTAGACTCTAGGGTTACTACTGGCTTGGGGAACGTACTTTTTCAGGTTTACAAAGGCTTATGATGGGGTTATTAAGGACATATACTATCCTCACTCCAGGGTCCCTCAAGGTACGCGTCCTTTTGAGCCAAGCAATATGCGCACCCTAAAGCTAAGGTCGCAGGATGCATTGATTCCTTCCCGCTTCGTCCCCCTCTCGGCACTGTATCAGAAGCTATATGGATGCAAACTACAATTCGATTTAATTATCTCCGAAAGGTCCACGAGCTGCCAGGAAGAGTGTGTGCAATGTTTCAGACTCGCATTTTTTTTTGGAGGGTCTCGTGTGAAGCAAAAACAGGTTGTCAAAACACCAACACAAAGCCACCACAACGAATCCCACTAAAGCTCCTACCTTTCCCTCCTTGAGTATGTGGACCCTTCGGGAATTCAGCTGTTTGCAAGACACCGCCAAAACGTGGCGCGACCGCGGAAACAGTGGCAGCCGGGGTTTCATGCATCAGGCTTCAATGTATCCCGCTTTTAGGCATGGGCGGTTTAGGGTTTTGGGTTGCTGCCCCAGCAAGATGTTGAGCTGCGACCCAAACAAGAACAAGGTGCGAAGTCCCACAAACCTCCAATTAACCTCATCATGGAATTCGCTCATACCAGCCCCAGCTCAGCCTCATCATGGATTTCGCTCATACCCACCCCAGCTGAGAACGTAAAGAGATTTGAGTGTTCAGGGTTTAAGGTTTAGGGTTTGGGGTTGGTTCCCGAATTGCATAGGGCTCAGGGTTGGGAGTGATAATGGAAACTCAAATGGCAAAGAAGATGGATACTGAAATTGAAACAGGTGTTTACATGGGAGTACACTAGAATTGTGTAATGTGGAACCCTGATGAACTGCCACTAGTGTAGTCCAAGATCAGTATCGGGCACCCTCAAACAGATCTCAAAGTCGCACCGGCCATGTTTTTATCATAGACTAGTATACCCACCCCCACTATACCCACCCCCCCTTCCCATGCTATTTGGGGGCCCCTAATTTAAGCTTCCCCAGGAAAGCATGCAAACATTGTCAGCAAAAGCAGGAACGACTATTCCAGACTTATTCAGCTCACGCGGGTGTGAGGGTGTCCAGGTAACGTTGCAACCTTTCGTCGCTGGGGATTTCAAATCGCCGTTGCGGATTTCTCGCATTCCAGCGGGAGTAAACAAATGAAAGCACTGCTCGGAGAGCGTCCAACTTAGTCGGACACTGGTTTGTACCCCACTGCCTCTGGCAGGAGTCACGAACTCCTGCCTCACCTCAGTGTGAAAAGCAGACCCCTCCAATGAGGGTTTAGGGTTCAGGGAAAATGCTTTCGACATTAAGACAGCAATCCTTTGGGGGGAGCAACAAACTGAAACTGCAGAGGATTTGGGCTTGCGTACATCTTACAAGAGGACTTGGGAATCACTTGGGAATCAGCATGATGCACCCTAGTGACGTTGGGGGTTAAGCTTGGGGTTAGTTTGAAAGTAACTACTCGTTACGACCTGTCTTTATGGCAGAGTAGCAGCAGTCAAAGTCCGGGCGCATTCGGGTTGCGCCCATGAACCCCCCCCAAATAGCTTAACAACTTCCTGCCCTGAACCCCGGAATATTCCTGGAGTATAACTAAATTCAACATAGCTACCAACGGGGTACTGCGCAGAAAACCAGCCAGCAATGGGATTGTAGCGGGCATAGAAGATTCCGGAAATGGTACCCTCGCCAGGAAGCAAAAGTTTGAGGTCGGCTGGTGTCAGGTCAAAGTTGCGAACAACCTTCTTGTGCTCTGCTTCCTGATGCTCCTTCACAAGCTCGTCGACCTTCGCCTTTGCCTCCTCATAGTTGGCTTCTCGTTTGTGTTCGTCTTTCTCCCTATCCAGCTTGTTGGAAAGGCCTTGCTGAACACCTTCTCCATAGACCTCCTCCTCGAACATCTGCATGGCACGTTGCTTCATCTTCTTGAATGCAGACTCTTGCTGGTTCTCCGGGTCCAACTCGGAGATGGCTGCAACCACAGCAACATCAACGGTTTGCTTCTTGTTGCCCATCATGGCTTTGAACAACTCGTCTCTGTACTCCTGGGCATCGTCCGGGAACACGCTTTTCAGGAGAGCTCGTACAAAATCCGGTCTGGTAATGCCTCCGTTGGCGCCAGAGCCTTTTCCTTTCTCAGGAAGCACTGCTTTCACTGCCTGGCAAGCCTGCTGCAACTGTTCCACATTCAGCTTCACATGCGAGGCCAAAGCATCGCGTAGAACCCACCCATCCTTACTTAGGATCTCGAAAGCCATTCCAAACTGCACCAGTTCCCTAGGAAGGCACGCGGGCGGCAAGAGTTTCACCTTGACGCTGCTCCATGTGGAGGACTCGTGGGCAAGGTCAAAGTGGAACATGGCGGTGATGCACTCACGAGCTCGGAGACCATGCTTCAAGGTCACATACTCCTTGCCTCGAAGCTGGACACACTCCAACTCCACTCCAAGTGCGCACCATCCATTAAATCCAAGCGAGAGGACGCACTGGTTCTGCTCCTGCAAGCAAACATGGCAAAGTCAACTGAGGTGCCAGGCTAGTGGTGTTTCGGGAAGGTTGGGCTACCTACTGTCAAACACAAACACAAAACAAGGCTTGTTCATGTACGACCCCAATCCTTGTGAAAGAAGAACTGTCCACACTGCAGAAACACGCCAGCCCACGCCCTGTGGCAGTTTGAGAAACCAGAGGCCTCATCCTCCAAGAGATAGAGAAGCGCGGACGAGCTTTTGTAATGACTGAGGGGCCCTGCCAGTCTCCATTTCGTTTTTTTGATACCGGCTGCGCTGCGAGGAATCTCACGTCCACGGGGCAGCGATGTTGCTTGCACATTTGCGGCTTCATTGTACAGCTTCATCTTCTCTACTCTCGCGCGGCCGTAGAAAGAACGCCACTTCACCCATGCTTGCCGATCCGGCAAGCAATGATCCATGCCACATGTTTTTAACATGGAGTACGGAGAGGCAATTGTGTAGAACCATGCTGCCACAGGGGAAATTTTTTGGTTCTTGACATGTCGGGCAACAACGTCTCGAATGTGCGCGAAAGTGCTCTCTAAGACTTCCTTCGTGCTCGCACTTCCTAAGAAAGTGCGCAAAAGCAATCGCTGAAGTTCGAAGCACTCATCATTGCCATCTTGGAAACCTGCGCGCAAAAGCCTCACCATTGTTTCCCGGGCCAGTGTTTCCTCTGGCCAAGCCAGGTCTGCCACAGCCATGTAAATGAGGTGCGGACCAGCGAGCAACATGTCCTCTGCTTTCACAATGACGTTGACCAGCCGCTTGAGAGACCTCATGGCCTCAACGCGCTTCTCCTTACATTGATGTACAAGCCCCAGTAACACGCAACACAGACCCAGAAGCAAAACTTGTAGAAAAAGAAAGACTGCAGAAAACATTTTCCTAGCAGCAGGCTCTGGCGAGAGCAACGCTGCAGCTGCGAGTGGGAGAGTGTAGCGGTATAAAAGTTGACCCCACAGGATGTTGGATGCCAGATGCACGCCGAAGGTGAATGCCTTTTGCGTGAGCTGCACGTCCTCACTGAGGTACTCGTTCTCAGGGTCCATCGGGGGCTCTGAGGGCGGTGCCAATCTCATCTCGCGGTAGAGCGATGGATCAGCCAGCTCACCTAAAATGTCCGTAGCTATCTGGAACCCACCTCCTGCAGCCCTGTCTGCGATCCACTCCATCTGCGACTTTGCCCCTGCCTGCTGCGCTTTTAGATCCGCAGCATAAGCATTCTGCCTAGGCGTGAATCTTGAAGGGCTAGCCTACAACAACCAACCGAGCTACAGAACACCACAAAGTACAGATTGCCGGGAAAATATTCTACCTAGACACAAAGGGGAGGTGATCCGAACCAACAACACGGCCGTGCTTCTCAAGCTCTCGTCCTGCAGAAACTCCGCGTTCATCGAATGTGGCCCACGGCCTTTGTAGGCCTTGTACAAGTCTGCCTTGGTCCACTTTTTTGGCGGTGGGGCTGCTTCAGGCTCAGGCTGACGCGGACGCTCATCCTGGTCACCCTCATCTGGCTCAGCATCCACAGCGCCGCCTGATTCATGAAGAACTGCCGTAGCCGCTTCCCTTTGCACTGTCCAATTGTGGAGTAGATCACGGAATGAATTTATCATCCCGAACCACGCTTTCGTTTTGACGAACTTCCCCCTGTTGCGCAGGGCGTCTGTGCTCATGAAATCCTCGAGCATGAATGCCGCGTCTTCAGCAGAGGGAGCTGCAGTGGAGCCTTGGTCACGGAAAATCTCTTGGGCAATGTCGGCGAAATACTCCTTCGGCTGCTTCTTGAGGAAAGCTGCCAACATCTGCTGCTTGAGCACCAACCTGTCACCGGCCCCCCATGGCCCATGTGAATAATTGGCGCAAACTGTCAGGCGGAGCACGTCATAGTCGAGCTCAGCCGCTGTTACTGCTCGTTTATATGAATTCCACTTTGGGTGGGATGTTTCTGGCTGCGTCAAGCCACGACATCCCACGTAGGAAAACAGGAAATGGAATGCTTTTGCTTGCGACGATTCTTCGTCGGTTACCTTACAGAGTTACTCTCACTGCTTCGACCTCAACGCAACTATCTGCAAAAATAATACTGCTGGAAACTCTGGCTACTGACAAACGCGGCTAATGCCATCTAAGTCTCGAAGCGCAAGAGCGGGGAGGTGTCAACTGGACCCAGCTCTATGTTTGTCATCAGGCTACCCTTCACGGGTGACCTGTCTTCACAGGCCCATTTTGGAATGAGCCATGTCAAGTCCTTCTGGATGAACGTCTGGAAGACGTGGTTCAGAGTCTTCACGACAGTCTGGGCAGGAAAAATGAAAGCAGTATTGAAAGTTCAATGGCAGGCGTTGCTCGGGACTTAGGTTCTTACTTTGTGGGTGCGTCGAACCAGCAACGAAAAAATGTCTCCTTACTTTGGCCTACGCACAGATAAGTGGAATGGTGCTGCAAAATACATTGGGCTGATTAGGTGAGGCCCGGGCGAAGAATGCATTGGAGTCACGTTGGTTCACCATGGGCCTGCAAGCTATGTGGCAGGCACTTCGACTCAAATGAGTGCTGGCCGCACGCGCCTAATGACACTGGTACCGTCGAGGTGCTCAGCAATCAGCTTGGGCATGACCTTACTCAAGACGAGAAAGGTCGCAAAACAGATGGGAGATGGCAACTTAAGCTCAAAAAGCCGCAGCGTGGCTCTGACACACACACACACACACAGAGGCACTTTTCTAGTCCGTTGCAAGCTCATGTTCTCTCACGGTCTCTGGCATAGACATATGAAGAAATGCCAGCTATGGACATTGTGGTGTCTTCAGTCAGACACGTGTGCCCGGAACTTGTTGCTCAGCTCACAGTGGAGCCGACCTACGCAGTCTTGCTATTACTGCTGGGCTGGCAATCTCCTGCACTAAGCCTCGTCGTCGGCTTCTTGCTCTGCAGGACCGGTGTCCCCAATCCAGCATCTGCCGGACCCATTCCCTTCGGCTGCTTACGCGGTGGTGTTTGTGGCCACGGCGCAGCCACAGGGAAACTCAAGGAGACAGGCCGCTTCTTCTTGCGTGGTTTCTCGGGAGTTGCCTTTGAAGTTCGCTGAGGCGGCGTCACGGTCTGGGGACTGCCAGCGCCCTGTGTTGACAGCGGCTTCGGGGGTGTCGTGTTCATGTCCCAGCAAAGGACTGAGGAACTGTTCAAGGCAAGGCAAGTCAACAGAGGGCGAGCTGATCCAACTAACGCTGTAGGAATCACTTGGTAGGTGCAGCAGCTGTTGCGGTAAGTTCAGCATGGCCTAACACTCGTGCCCCACTCAAGCAGAAGGTTGCCTTGCTTTTCACTGTCTGCTGCGGCTGCACTGCAGTCTGCCGCTGTGCTTTTTCGGCACGTCTGCATTTGCTAGCCCTGTCCTACCGGCGCGCGGCCACGTCGCTGCTGCAAATTCCTACTTTCTGTGCTCCGTGTCACTCATTCCAACATCGTCACATGGCCGCCGGCCAGTTTCAAAAAAAAAGTTCTCACCACTCAAGGGTTCGGGAAGCGAAGGCATGGTCAGAAAACTGCCGAGGTCACGTCTCGAAGTTCAAAACACCAAAACACACACTATACGCTGATCTACTATCACGGGACTTGGGTGAAAGACTGCAATCTACTGACACATGCTTCGCAGTTGGCTGGTCACGCCCTGATGCATGAAGAACTACCTACATAAGTTCGACCTGCGTGCCCGTGTCCTGTGTTAAAGCTGCTGTGGCCAGCCAACTCCCAACACGGTGTGTCGCCGGGGCCGGCTGTCAGAGATTCGTGTCCTGCGCAAGCCAGTGCTAGATGTGACCCTGTAAACACAAGACACTTCTACGGAAAGCTTCTTAATACCTACCGTATTCTCAACTCACACAGAGTATGATTTCCCCTTTACGTTCCCCGACTAGCACAATGGAAGCCCAGCATACCCCCTTTCCTTAAGTGTGACGGGATAGGACAAAACCCTTATGCTACATGTGGGGATATATTGGTCTCAAAAAAAAAACATAAACACTGTGGGCACAGTCTTGCCGCACAGCAATACTCCGTTCCTCCGGGGTTGTATAGTTAGACCTTGTTTACATCTAGGGGGTTGCACGGGTTTACAAGTATACAGCGTATTTCGGGTAGGTATACTATACGCGTGGTTACAAGCTCGATTACTCCTGGTGCTTGTCGGGAACTGGTGGCTGAAATTGGATACAATGCTAGGGTAAAGGTGTACAATGACTAAATAAATGGAGGTCCCACGCCCTAAACCTTAAACACCATGAAGTAAATGCTCTGACCCCCCTAGAATCTACTTCCCATTCAACTCTCCACGTCCTTCCTTTCCCAGGGCGGTAATCCCTCTATAGTCCTATGTTACCACTCTGTATTATATATACATACATATTAGAAAAAAACCCAACCCTATGCCCGGGACCCCGTATCCCTATGTAGCCTGGCAAGGCGCCAGAGACATGGAGACAGAGAAAGAGAGAGGAGAAGACAACAAACGGTAGAGAGAGAGAGAGAGAGAGAGAGAGAAAGAGAGAGACAGGGAGAAAAGAAAAAAGATCCAAAAAACAACAGCAGTTGGCCAGCATGCAGGCCGCAAACGGACGGACGCACAGAAAGAGAGAGAGAGAGAGAGAGAGACGAAAATGACAGAGAGAGACAGAGAGAGAGAGAGAGACAGAGAGATCGAGAAAGGGAGGAAGGGAGGGAAGGAGAGAAAGATAAAGAAAAATAGATAAGCGTGGGAGGAGGAGACAGGTAGAGAGAGTGCAGAAAACATGGCAGCCAGGCAAGCAGTGCAAGCAGGCAGGCAGGCCGGAAAGACGTGCGGGCGCAGCGACAGCCAGACTTCGACGCAATTGCAGAGGCAGGCACTCAGGCAAGTAGGCAGGCAGGCAAGCAGAGGGAGGAGCAGAGACACAAAAACAGCGCGCGGAAAACACTACATATTTATCAGCGCAGAATGGCATGCACGCAACGCGACGGCAAGCAGAAGAAAAAGACGAAAAAAAAGAAAAAGAAGAAGGGCCCCAAATTCGTTGCGAAAAGCCGCTTGCCAGGTCACTTCTCTGTGTATTGGTTGTATTGGTTGGGTTGGTTAGCTGTGGGCTTAAGGGGTCTATGCCTATGTTTCCTAATCATGCGGGTTCATGCTTCATGCGGCTGCCGCATATCTCATACTAGCAACGCTTCCAACCTTAAACGCTAAACCCCCGAAACCCTAAACCTTAAACCCCCAAAGCCCTAAACATGAACCCTAGACCTGACGCCCTATACGCCCAAACCATACTTAGTTAGATCCTAAGCCGGATTGCTTGGGGTTCGAAAACATATCTGCGCTACATTGGGTCCTGGGCTTTAGTTATCTTACCTTCAACCACCAACCTGAACCCTAGCCTGAGCAATCACGTCCGGTGTTTAGGTTAACGGTCGCCAGCTTGAGCTCATTGTTGGAATTCCATGGTGAAAAAAATGATCCGGGTGTGGGTGTTAGTGTTCTCTCTGGGATTCGAATCGGGCGCCTTAGCTTGAGGCATTATGGGTTTAGGGTTTAGGGTTTATCCGGTGTTTTTTTTCGTGCTTGATCGGGGCTCCTGGTCCTTATCTGGAGCTTGACCTGGGGCCTTGTCTGGGCCTTATCCGGGGCTTATCTGGGCCCTTATCTGGGGCCTTATCCGGGGCTTTATCTGGGGCTTATCTGGGCCTTATCTGGGGCCTTATCTGGGGCCTTATCTGGTGCCTTATCTGGGCCTTATCTGGGGCTTATCTGGGGCCTTATCTGGGGCCTTATCTGGGCCTTATCTGGG